GAGTAACCTTGGGTGCTTTGCTCCTGGCTGCTTATTTTCTTTGTTTGCAGGCTTCCTAACAATGTATTGGTAAGCATTGTCTTTTTTACAGAGACTGGAAAGTTTTCAGTTCTGCTAGCTCTTTTGGGCCCCACCTAAGGCATAGTAATATCTGTCAGTCCAGGAATCAATATCTGTCTCACCAAACTCTCCAAGATAACCAAGTTGAGAACACTCTGATTGGTGTCCACACTGCATCTGTGAACAGACTTGTGCTTCCTCTCTCCAGTTCCCCTTGATCTAGGACAGGCATGCTCCTTACTCGTCAGCAGGCACATTCTGCTGTTGGTCAGGACATCTTGGTTCATGGGGAAACCAAATCACTCCTACTACTGATTTGGACTAAATAACCCTTTCTTTGACTCTTCACCTAGAGCGTTAGACTTAGACGCTACTTCTGTGATTGTGGGCCTCTCAGAGTATAAACTTTGTATTCATTCATTATTCTCTTTAATGAGTTTCTGACCTTGGGTGGTGGGGAAGGGGATACTCATTTTCTTCTTAACAAAGCTGATCACTTAGGAGGCACAATTAAACAAGCCTTACTGTGGTTTTGATTGCCATTTCCCTGATGCCTAGTGATGCTGAGTATCCTTTTGTATGTTAGCCATCTATATGGTTCCTTGAGAAGATTCTATGTCCAACAATTTTTGTTTTCATTTTTAATTCTAAATTTTAAAGCAGGGTGTCATTTAGTTTAAGCTTGAATTTACTATGCATCCAAACCTGGCTTTGAAAAAACTGTGTGTGTGTGTCTGTGTCTGTGTGTGTGTGTTTGTGTGTCTGTGTGTATTTCAAAGAGGAAAGGGTTTTTCTTTATAGCCCTGGCTGTCCTGGAACTCACTCTATAGGCCAGGCTGGCCTTGAACTCGGAACTTCTCCCTGGGTTAAAGGCATTGCCCAGCTGAAACATTTTTAAACATTTATTTATTTATTTATTTATTTATTTATTTATTATTTGAAGGAATAGCTGTTTATTTTGTTTCAAATAATCTCTTGATTATGGAAGTTAACTACAACTTCCTGGATTATGTAGAAGAGCAGTTTATAACCAGTCAGTAGTCTTTGTTAGAAGACCACACATCTATATCTTATAAAGGATGTATAATTCCTAATCTTACTGAGAAATTAGAACTAGGAGAAGCCAGAGTGACCATTTTACTTGCCTGTACCCCTACTTTATTCTAAGGAAAGTGAGCCTTCATAGTTCTGCAATAAACACCGTTGGGTGCTTTATTGGAGCATGCTGAGCTTCTGCTGTGCTCTTCCTTGAGCTTGTCTGTCTCACATGTAGAGCATATACAGACAATTTGGAGCATTATATTTGAATAAACCTACTATCTGATTTTGTCATTGAGTTTTAAGATCTTAGGGAGAAGCATTTTATCTCAGTGTTCAGTCTCAGCCACACTTGGTATAGGTTGGTGCACAAATATTGAGAGAAGAAAAAAAGCATTTGCTGTAAGTTCAACAGGTTTGTAACTAGGTACCTATTTTATTGTCATTGTTTCCTGTGGTATTGGCTCTATGTCAGTGACTGAACCAGAAAATAAGTTGCTCAAGTACAGTCTTACATGGTGATATTTCACTGCTTTAATTTGCCATTCTGAAGCAAAAGAATCTTAAAGGTTTGTGATGTCCAAATTCATTAATGTAACAGAGGCTTATTCCCTCTTTATCTAGTGGTATCAATATATAACAAATAGATTTGTGAATGAGTAATCTATGTATTTTAGAGTGCTGTAGATAGAGATGGTCAGAATCCTTGTGACTGTCATAAATAGTAACATTTGTGTGATTAGGTCTTTTTTTAAAATTGTTTTATCTATTTATATTCCAAATTTGCTCCCCTTCCCAGTCTCCCCTCTAAGTTCTTCACTCCCCTTTGCCTCTGAGAGGGTGCTCCCCTAATTCCTCCTCGCCTCCCTTCCCTGGGGCATCAAGTCTCTACAGGAATAGGTGCAGTTCGATGAAGTCTTTACCTTTTTTTTTTTTTTTTTTTTTTTGGTTTTTTGGTTTTTTGAGACAGGGTTTCTCTGTGTAGCCCTGGCTGTCCTGGAACTCACTCTGTAGACCAGGCTGGCCTCGAACTCAGAAATCTGCCTGCCTCTAGGGCCTCCCAAGTGCTGGGATTAAAGGCGTGTGCCAACACTGCCTGGCGTGATTAAGTCTTAATACATTGTCTATATCATAGTGTAATGTACTTTGTAAGTCATCTAAGTTGGAGGTCCTTTGACTTGTGGTTGAAGTTATGGTTCAGATGCTTCAAATGTTCAAAGTCTGATTTGAATTTTGATTTTTCATTTTGTCTAATTCAATTCTAAGTCACATTTTAGTGTCTGGCATTTGTCTTAGAGCTGATTGTACTTTATGTGGACTCTTATGTAATTGATGCCATTTTAGATTTATAAAGATTAATAAACATACTAAGAGGTACTCTTGGAGCGAACATGGACTGGAACTTGGCCCCCTGCACATATGTAGCAGGTGTGTAGCTTGGGCTTCATGTGGGCCCCCCCCAACAACTGGAGCAGGGTTTGTCCCTGAATCTGTTGCCTGTCTGACTGTGGGTCCTGTTCCTCTAACTGGGCTGCTTTGTCTGACATCAGTGGGAGAGGATGCATCTAGTCCTGCAGTAACTTGGTACAGGGGTGAGGGGTTGGGGGTAGGGAATGGGGCCTGGGGTGCTGGTGTTGATACTCAGAGGGGTGTTCCACCTTCTCAGAGGAAGGAAAGGGAAGAATGAGGGGAGGATCTGCAAGACGGGGTACTGAGAGGAGGTGGGGCTGATATTGTGTTGTAAAGTGAATAAATAAAATTTAAAAAGGTACTCTTTGGGGTAAATGTGTTAGGAATATATTAGATTTAAAATACTGTATTAAAAAATGTTTCTCTTCTCATCTGTGAGTGAAACATGTTATAATTCCAGTTCCAGTCCATGCTCGCTCCAAAGAGTACCTCTTAGTTATAATGAGTTCCAGGCTAAGGTATATTTTAAATATTAGATATGTCTTTTTTTTTTATTTTTTGGTTTTTCGAGACAGGGTTTCTCTGTATAGCCCTGGCTGTCCTGGAACTCACACTGTAGACCAGGCTGGCCTCCAACTCAGAAATCTGCCTTCTTCTTCCTCCCAAGTGCTGGGATTAAAGGCGTGCGCCACCACTGCCTGGCTAGATATGTCTTTAAAATACTTATTTTGGAAACTAAAGTTAAAAAACTGTTCAAGTGAGTCTTCATTTTATCAAGACAATCTGACTTGCTGTTTATTTTCTGTGAATTAATGTGAATAAAAATTTACTGTTAAACTAGTATTTGTAGAAATTGTATCTATAGATGATGTCTATAATTTAATTGCAAAGTTTTTGTTTTTTTAACAGGGCTGAGAGCATAGCTTAGTAGTAGAGTGGTTGGGGTGCTTGAGGCCCTAGGTAGTGGTTGAGTGATGGAGATTGTCTGGCTGTACAGCTCATTTGATCGTGGTCAGGAGGCCTCAGTATTCTAGAAAAGTTGCATTTCTAAAATTGAATGAAATTCTCATAAAAAATTATTGGTGTGTGTATATTCATGTATATCATTTGCTAGGTGAACTGTCTGGTTTTGCCATTAATTATATGTTCTTGGCTAAGAACCTTAGCTATGGGAGAATGTTCATTTTATAATTTCCACATGATTAATACATGTAATTTATATATGTGCTCAATACTGTTGGTTATGTTTGACACAATGCTTTTTAAATTTATTTTATGTATATAAGTACACTGTTGCTGTCTTCAGACCCACCAGAAGAGGGAATTGGATCCCATTACAGATGGTTGTGAGCCACCATGTGGTTGCTGGGAATTGAACTCAGGGCCTCTGGAAGAGCAGTCAGTGCTCTTAGCCTCTGAGCCAACTCTCCAGCCCTGACACAATGCTTTTTAGTGGCATTTTCATTAAAAAAAAATGTGTATATCATATATATGTATACACACAGTATATGTATGTATACACACACACGCACACATACACATGCGCACACACACATATATTTTTTCAAGACAGAATTTCTCTAAGTAGACTAGGCTGGCTTCCAACTCATAGATCCACCTGCCTCTGCCTCTGCCTCCTGACTGCTGGGATTAAAGACACCACAGTCCAGCTAAAATTACATATAATTTTCAACAGTATATTTTGATCATGTTCTTCTCCCTAAACCCTCCCCATATTCCCCCATCCCCCAACTGTTGTCATATTCTCTCCTTCTTTGTCTCTCTTTCTCTCTCTGTCAAAAAGCAAAATCGAAAAACTAAAAAAAAAAAACAAGACAAAAAGTAGCAGTAACAAAAACCCCATCCACACACAAAAATGGAGCCTGTGCTGTGTTGGCCTATACTCCTGGGCATGGGGTCTACTCTGGAGTGTGATTGATACATCCAGTGATATTCAGTAGAGAAAACTGGCATGTAGGAACGCACAGAAGACTGGCAACAAGTACAAGACCTGTTTAGGTTCAAACCAGACAAAATCCCAGCATTGAGAAGGGGAAGTGAAGCCGGGCAGTGGTGGCGCACGCCTTTAATCCCAGCACTTGGGAGGCAGAGGCAGGCAGATTTCTGAGTTCGAAGCCAGCCTGGTCTACAGAGTGAGTTCCAGGACACCCAGGGCTCCACAGAGAAACCCTGTCTCGAAAAACAAAAACAAGAAAAAAAATAATAATAAAAACAAGGAAAAAAAGAGAAGGGGAAGTGAACACAGTGTCCTACCTATCGAAGAAGCTGTTTACAGTTGACACCTGCTGACATTTTCTTTTTGAGGGATCATTACTGAGTCAGATATTTCCTGAGGCACAATTCTTATTTGAGGGAAGTTTGCCTTTGGGTGAAATAATGTGTGAAAGCTAATCTATAAAAGGCTTAATTTAAACGTGCATATCTTAATAATTACGAGTTTTTTATATTGACATTGACATTCTTTTGTATAGGAGTTAAAGTTCCTCGTAATTTTCGCTTGTTGGAAGAACTTGAAGAAGGACAAAAAGGAGTAGGTGATGGTACGGTTAGCTGGGGCCTTGAAGATGATGAAGACATGACACTTACAAGGTGGACAGGCATGATTATTGGGCCACCAAGGGTCAGTGCTATAAAGTATACATGTTTCATGTTAATATTTGTTGTTTATTTTGAGTGAACATTTAATTTTATTGTTACTAAAAGCAACTATGATAACTTTTGACAGGAAGAATTCCTTCATTTTTATATATTGTATGTACATTTATTTATTGACGCCTCCTGTTGGAAGAGCATATGCTTCATTATCAAGAGGACTGGGGTAGAGTGGCATGGTGGTTGTCCCCAAACTGTTCGTGTTTTAGTAAAGAAGAAAAAACAATTCAAGTGCTAGATTCTAATATGGCTGAGCAAGTTGACCATATGTCTCCTACCTGGATTACATTTAGGAAAGCTGAACATAGGAGTTACCTTTGGAGTGGGCCATCCTACCAGGACTACTGACTGGTAGGATTTTCAAAGGTGAAGATGGACATAGAAAACATTCCATATCAGAGCGGAAGAAGAGTGTGGAAGTGGAGGGGTTACCTGGGGGAGTGTGTTGTGAGTCACCTGCTCTTATGTGACTGAGGATCTCGAAATTGACATGCAGCGATTACACATTGCTGTGCCCTCTAACGTTGAACAGGCCTGGGATACTTAGTAGTGCCCTAGTTTATAAACTATAGTAGCAAGTAAGACACTTCTAGAGGTACAACATATGAAACCAGTACACATACAACATGGGGTTTTTAGCAACAACAAAATAACTAGGATTGGTCCCCCCCACCCTTTTTTTTGAGTGTTTCTGTGTTGCCCTGGCTGTCCTAGAACTCACTGTAGACCTGGCTGCCCTTCAACTCACAGAGATATGTCTACCTCTGCCTCCTGAGTGCTGGGATTAAAGGCGTGCACCACCACCGACTGGCTAAGATTCTTAAATATTTTCTAGTATTGCTGTTGATCTTTTGTGGATTTGTTCTTACATCTTTCTCAGGTTTGTGTGAAGGTTTTTTTATGTATTTCTTTTTCCTATATGGAAAAACTTTTTTCTACTGTGCATTTATGCAATGGTCTTATACCGTGCATTGAAATAGACATTTTTTAATGTTTGTGACTTGTGGCAGCTTCGAAAAATATAAATTTGAAAGATTTGTTTCCTTGTTATTGTGATAGTTGGGATTGAACCTAAGGCATTGTGTATAACAGACAAGGTTTCTACTACTGAGCTGCATCCTCAGACTTTGGCTTTTACCCTGAGACACAATCTCTGAATCCTCCAGGCTAGCTGTGAACTCACAGGCTAGGCAGACTTTGTACTTTAATCATGCTAGTTTAGATTTCTGAGTAGTTTAGGATTATTGTCTCTGCCATGGGGTCCAATTTTTCTTTCTTACTTTCTGATGGAAGAGTTTTACCTGTTCTGTTCCAGTAGAATTTAGATTTTTTTTCTGGTTATTAAAAAAAGTCTCATCTAGGAGTGATAGATGAGTAGGTATGCTTTATGTTATTTGCTGGAGTTCCCTTTGGAGTCCTTTTAGATCAGGTCCTCTAAGAGGCCACAGTTCTCAGACTTCATGTACACTCTTAAAAGTCTTCCTCGGACCTTTCCTGCTCTGATTCTTCCATAAGACATTTGAGAAAGCAAATATAAGATTGATGGTTAAATGTTGCAGTAATTATTTAAAAACGGACTCAAGTCAAGCCGACTATCTAAGCTGTGGAGGCTCTGTCTAGCTCAGCCACTATGCTCCATGGCCAGTGGCCATGTGTGTGCAGCAGCTAGAAACAGCCAGCCAGAAGCACCAGCCCTGCCACCCACAAGACGTCAGTGTGGGAGATGGCTCTGCCAATCTTCCACGCTGCCTCTGGAAGGCTGGGCATTGCCCAGACCATCCTGCCATCCACGTGGGCCCCGGTAGAAAAATGAGACTCTAATGCTTAAGGATTAATCAAATGCTTTATATGTTTGGTAAAGCTCAATAACAATATGCCCATACAAAGAGAATTGTTTCCTAATTAGCTAACCTAAATAAAGTAGTTACCCTCACTGCTCTCCATACCTGCATGGATTTCCATCCTCCTACATCTCTGCTCTCTCTTTCCTACTAGCTCCTCCTCTTTTTTTTCCTCTTCTTCTCCTAACTCCTCCCACCTTAGCTCCTCCTACATATCACCCTTTCTGTTGAAAAAAAAACTCTCTCAAAATACAATACACCAATTTGTATCAGTAAGGTACAAGATAGACCTAATACCCAGACTAAACAGAACCTCTGTCATTTCTCCTAACTAAAAGACTTAGTTCTGAACCTGTTTTTTTTTTCTTGGCTTTAGAATGAATGTCAGCTGAAAACCATCCTCTCAAAGTAAAGAGCCTTGGTTGGCTGTGAGACTATAAGTCTTCAACTCCATCAGAAATCCAGAATGACTGAATTAACTGAAGATATGGGAAGCACAAACTGTGGCTTCTAAAACTTAGCCAATTTATAGAGACTGCTGAACACCTGGACAGTCCCTATACTACAAAACGTTGGAGCATCTGATCTTCAGCCTTCTGGCCTAGGATCATCTGACAGACCTAGTGATGCAGAATTATTAAGAGCTAATTACTCTGTCTTGGCAGACATAATCAGTCGACTATTCCTCAAGTGTGTCCTTTTCTGGACAGTAATTTGTAGATGAAAAGAGGCAATTCTTGCCTAGTGGCTGTCTCACCACAACTGGAGTAACTCCAAAGATGCTCAATTTCTTCTTAGCATCCAAGACAGGGAAGCTCAGGAGCAGACAGGACTCTAATCAAAATGAACATTAATACAGAAATGTTTTGTAATGTCAGTTCTGTGGACTTCTGACATTTTGAAAACCAATTATCTATGTAAGGCAATCTGGACTGTTGTCTGTTAACTCTTCTCAGCTATTTTTAATTAAAATATAGAAAATACCCTAACAATAAACTCAGAGCCATGAATTTGCTATAGGCCCCTAACTCACAGGCTAACCGTCTCAAATCAGTTAAAAAAAGTTAAAGAAGGACTGAGTCTAAGCCTTATATTCCTAAATGTGTTATATAGGTACAATGCCTACGAGAGTAACAATATTAATCTCACTTTTAAGAAACACATATCAATGAAAACCTTAAATTTGAAATCAAAGTAAATTTTGTACCATTTAAGAAATTATAATTTCAGCTTATTAGCAGTTATACAGATTTCTGCCTGTAGGTTATGGCTATGCAATAAATCCTAGCTATTCCTCCCTGTTCCAATAAAACCATTACTTTTCCCTAGAAGGACAGCCCAATATTAACCACCTCAGTCCCCAAGCCTAGGGAATAGGGGTGCCGACTCTTCATTAACTTCTTCAAGCTGATTACGAGTGATGAGATATTAGAAGAGGGGCAGGGGAAGAGTAAATTGATACGCTTCTCACGTCTGTGTCTTCACTGCATTCAGTCGAGATTTCAGGACATCAGAGGTTCGAGCAGGTCTGCTCAGCTTGCTTGATGAGTAGATCCACCAAGGCTGTGTATTCTGCAATATACAATTCTCAAAACAAATTTTAGTATTAAGATAATTTTTTGTTTGAATTCTGGAATCTAGTTTTCTGGTAGCCTGCCTCTGTCATGTCTAATCCATATAATTCTGGGAGGTAGAAATATCTTAATCCTCTCTTATGAAAACAGACAGACAAAAGTTTTTCCCCAAACAGCATTTCCTTGAGCCAGTAATCAGAAAAACCATTATCTTGACCTCTTTCCCAGAGGAAAAATATAACCACAAAAATGAAAATCACACCCATCTTGAAAATAAAATCAACTTAATAACTAAAATACTTGTATTTGCCTATTCTTAGGCTTTCCCTATTTTGCCAAGCAGGAAAAGAACCCAGAATTCCCGTGGGGCCCACGTTAGAACCTGAGTCTCCTGTGAGGCAATATAACTTTATATCATCTGAATACATCTGATTTACACTATCTTTCTGTTCGGCCCTCTGCCTAGAACAGTTTTTTATTTGTACCATCTATCTGTTTGCCTCTGTACTCCAGACAGCTTCCACTTTTACACTGTACTCTTTACTCTAGAGCTAGTGACGGTTTTTCCCTATCTTTTTTTTTTTTTTTTTTTTTTTTTGGTTTTTTGAGACAGGGTTTCTCTGTGTAGCCCTGGCTCCCTGGCTGTCCTGGAACTCACTCTGTAGACCAGGCTGGCCTCGAACTCAGAAATCCACCTGCCTCTGCCTCCCAAGTGCTGGGATTAAAGGTTAGTGCCACCACCGCCTGGCAGTTTTTCCCTATCTTAACTAAAGTATTGTATATGCCTATTCTTAGGCTTTCCCTATTTTGCCAAGCAGGAAATGAACCCAGAATTCCCATGGAGCCCATGTTAGACAGAACCCGAGTCTCCTGTGAGTCAATATAACTATATCATCTAAATTGATCTGATTTGCTCTTTGTTCCGAACCGCAGGCGAGATTTCCCACATGAATCAGACAAAGCTGTTTCTAAATCTATCTTAAAAACAAATCATCTCAATTTTAATTCACACTGTACTCTCTACTCTAGAGTCAGCTACTTTCTTCTTTTCCCAACAAAAAGGAACTTGTGTTTCCCCACAGCAGGGGAGTTCAGCTGGAGGTTTTTGTTCAGGGTTCCTGCACTAGGAGTCATGTGACTCCTATCAGCGCCAATCACTCATTCACTTTCTTTAAAAAAAAAAAATACAACTTTTACTCTCAGGTGAATAGACTTAAATTTCTAGTGAATTCGTGCCTGAAATTGGTGCACCACTTTGTTGAAGTAATTAATTAAAAATCGGCCTCTGGTCAGCCTCTGCCTAACTCAGCTGGCATGTTCTGTGGCCAGAGGCCATGTGCATGCTGCAGCTAGAAATGGCCAGCCAGAAACACTAGCCCTGCCACCCACGAGATGCCAATGTGGGAGATGGTTCTGCCAATCTTCCACACTGTCTCCGCAAGGCTGGGCATTGCCCAGACTATCTCGCCATCCACGCGGGCCCGGTACAAAAAATAAGACTCTAATGCTTAAAGATTAATCAAAGGCTTATATATTTGGTAATGATCAGTAACAAGAAACCCATACAATAAGAAGTGTAACCCAATACCCAACCTAGATATACTAACTACCTTTGACTGCTACAGACACCTCCATCTCCTCCCCCTCTCTCTTTCTTTCTTTTTCCTAGCTCCTTCTCTTCTTTTTCCTCCTCTCCTCCTTACTCCTCCTCTTCCTCTCCTAACTCCTCCCACCTTAGCTCCTCCTACAGTTAAAGGACTTTATAACTTGGTATCTGTGATGAAAAACTTTGATTTTTTTCCACTGCCTGTAAACATTATTATAATAGTTTAGCTAAAATAAAAGTGAGTTTTTTTTGTTTTTGTTTGTTTTTTAAACATTCTGGTATATAATGACTTGAAGATTTAAGTCAAAACTTAGTAAAACGTAAATGTGAAATTATTATTTTTAGATTTATTTGTTTCATTTATATAAGAACACCATCTCTATCTTCAGACACACCAGAAGAGGGCATCTGATCCCATTACAGATGGTTGTGACCCACCGAGTGGTTACTGGGAACTCAGGACCTCTGGAAGAGCAGTCAATGCTCTTAACCACTGAGACATCTCCTCAGATCTAAATTTGAAATTATTTAGGTTGGGTTTTTCTCTAGCCAGTGCCCCCAGTAGACTTTGTATCTGATGAATGTGTCTGAGCTTATCAGTAATCTTGCAGGCAGACTCTTAGCAAAGTTTCCAATGGGGAGGTATTGCTACAGCCTCTACTTTATTTCTCATCCATTTGGGTCCGCATTAGGATTCCTAAGCTACTTACATTTCCTGGTGTCATACCCTGTCTTGGCCTTGCCCAGTTGGAGCTAGCTGAAGGCTATTTTTGTAGCTTCTGTCTCCTAGCTCACTGGAACCTCCTTGTGGGACATTACATTAGAGCTGTAGGGGAGGAAGAACACTGCCTTATCTTTTCCTTATGAAGGTTTATGTTTGGGATGTATAATACTCATTTATTTCATTAGAGAGTTACTTGACAAGGTAGGCTTTACAGTGAAGATCCAGAGAATTTTACACTCATTGGTTGAGAGTGTACGATCTGGCATATGCTTGCACAAAGAGAGCCTGACCCTGTAGTATCAAACAGTGTGGAAGAGCATTGAACAAGGCCTGTTAGGTTCTTGTTCTGGCTATAGGATATGAGGGTAATGGCTTATGTTAAGTTATGGCTGCCAGGTTTTATGTCCTGATTCAGAGAAGAGAAGAACTTATTTTTGTTCATTTTGTGTTTGCTTTTTTTGGAGTAGAGTCTTGCTATGTAGCCCAGGCTGGGTTGAGGCTTGGAAGTGGTTCTCTTGCTTCAGCCTCTTTAATGCTTGGATTATAGTCATCCCACCATGTCTCGTGTTTTCTGTTTTTGTTTTTCCTTCCTTTTAAATAATTTGTTTAATTTGATCTCCATTCAAATTGGAGAACCATGAAAGTGATTCTCTCTTGAGAACTGTTTGATTTTACTCATTTTTTTATAGTACCAAATTGCTGGGGATATTGACTGTTTTCTGTTAAATTTGGGTGAATTTTATAGAGCTCTTTGAAAATATTAAAATATTTGTTAACATGCATCAATTTGTTTCATGCATTTCATATTACAGTAGTTTAATATTACAGACCTGAAATCTCCTTGAGAGTAGCTTTTGTTTATCAAAACTGTTTGAGATGACTTATTTTCACCCTAGTTTTATACAGATATCAGTAGATATTAAATTTGCTCCTTTTACTTGTTACGTACTTTTCTGCTTTAGTACTATACTACTAAGTGAACAAAAACTATAATGAGAAAGAAAAGCTAATTATATTATGAGAATAAGGCCTGAATAGTCTTGAAGTGTAAGTTATAGACTTAAAGTTCCTGTTTTATAAAAAAGCCATATTAGCTAAACTCTACTAATTAGAAACAATGTTGGAGCTGGGCAGTGGTGGCGCACACCTTTAGTCCCCGCAGGCGGATTTCTGAGTTTGAAGCCAGCCTGGTCTACAGAGTGAGTTCCAGGACAGCCAGGGCTATACAGAGAAACCCTGTCTCGAAAAACAAAAACAAAACAACAACAACAAAAAACAAAAACAAACAAAAAAAGAAACAGTGTTTGAAAATAATTTGTAAATATACCATGTATATTAATTTAGATGATGAGGCTAATAAATACAGAATTCATTAATTCTGTAAGTAATAGAAAACAGGAAATTGTTTTATTCTTGTAAGATGGCATGCCATGATTTTCCTTTTGCTAGAAATAATTGCCTGCTCATCTCTGAAAAGTGAACCATAATTTTTTTATCCAGCAAACCCATGTGAGAATAAAAAGAAGCATTGTTGTTAGTACTACTGAGATAATAGAAATAAATGAGATTGTTTGAAACAAATGAGATTGTTTTAGAAGGCGAAAACCTTTATGTATGTGTGATACAAGCCATGTATACCTTTTTTGTATGCCCTTTTTAGAAAAGCAAAATCTAAATTTAAGTTGATTTTTCTTTGTGATTTGTTATAGGCACCATGTGTCACAAGAGTAAATTGGATTATTTCAATTTCACTTTGTAGGATTGTTTTAGTTTCATACTATACTTTAAGTATGCTTGGTGCATTTTTTCCTAACTATATAGTTCAAATAGCTTTGTACAAAATTTTTACATAATCACAAGCAGCATAAAGAGTACATTTATACTGTATTTTTCTTTCTTAACAGTTCTTTCTTAAGCAGTATTTTAGCTTTGTCATTATGATTATCCCTTCTTTTCCCTACCCTTCCAGACGAACTATGAAAACAGAATATATAGCCTGAAAGTAGAATGTGGATCTAAATACCCAGAAGCTCCTCCATCAGTTAGATTTGTAACAAAAATTAATATGAATGGAATCAATAATTCCAGTGGAATGGTAAGTTATGATAATGATTTTATTTTTATATAACATATAATATATAGGCTAAAGTTTTAAGTTTTGTTTGTTCAGCTGAACGACTAAAGAAGTTTGTCACTCAGAAGGTAGAGGCAGGGCGATTGGGATTTGAGGCCAGCTTGAGCTGCATAGTTGGCCCTGCCACAAAAAATGATAAAGTTTGTCTTAGGTTGTTTTTCATTGTCTTCCCCTCCTCTCACCCTCTTCAAGATGATGCACTGTAGCCAACTTTACGCTAGCCTTGAATGACCCAATCCTCCTGCTTCAGCCTTCTGAGTGTCAGGAATATAGGCATTAAGCCACCATTAAGCCTATCCTTAAAATCTTCAGCTGTCTACAAGTTATGGTAACACTTTTCTTAGGAGTAATGAAACTTTGAGAGATATCTTGCCAGTTGCCTGCCTGCCTGCGTCTACTTTATTCTTAACATTCATATACATTTACTATATTATTATTAGGTGGTTAACTTATTTAGTTGTAAGAAATTTTCATGTACTGGGGAAATGGTATGTATTACATTTAATTTGTAAGTACTTTTGTTCTATTCTTTTTTTTTTTTTACTTTATTGATGGTGTGGTTTACAGTACAACTGCTTTTAATTTGGTGCTTTGTTTTGAAACAGGACATTATTGTATTGTTCACACTGTTTTTTTTTTTTTAATTTACTTTATGTCCTGATCAATGATACCCCCCCCTCCTCTCCCAGAGTCCCTTCCCCCAATTTCCCTCCTCTTTTCCGGTGAGAGAGTGAAGGCTCCCCCTATCCCCACACATCAGGTTTCTGCTCTTCTACTGAGGCCACACAAGACAACCAAGTTAGCTGAACACATTCCACAGGCAGGCAACAGCTTTAGGGATAGCCATCACATGTTTTTGGGACCCACATGAAGACTAAGCTGCACATCTATTACATATGTGCAGGTTGGGGGGCTAGGCCCAGCCTGTGTATGTTCTTTGGTTCAGTTTCTAAGACTCTCAGGGGTCCAGGTTAGTTGACACTGTTGGTCTTCCTGTGGCATTCCTATCCTTTCCAGGACCCTCAATGCTTCCCCCAACTCTTCCATGAGAGTCCCCAAGCTCTGTCCAATATTTGGTTGTGGATGTCTGCATCTGTTTGAGTCAGGTGCTAGGTGGAGCCTCTCAGAGGACAGTCATACTAGGTTTCTATCTGCAAGTATAACAGAGTGTCATTAATAGTGTCAGGGATTGGTGTTTGCCCATGGGATGGGTCTCTAGTTGGACCAATTATTGCTTGGTCATTCCTTCTGTCTCTGCTCCGTCTTTGTGCCTGTATTTCTTGTAGGCAGGATAAATTTTGAGTAGAAAGTTTTTTCAGTAGGTTGGTGTCCCTATTGCTTCACTGGAGTTTCTGCCTGGTTATAGGAAGTGGCCTCTTCAGGTTCCATATTCCCATTACTATGACTCTCAGCTAAGGTCACCCCCATTGATTCTTGGGAGCCTTCCCTAACTCAGGTCTCTGTTATGTCCTTGAGATCACCTCCTCCATGCCAGCTGCAAATTTCCATTCATTCTCATGGGAATTCTGCCATTTCCTGTCTTTTCCCACACCTGATCCTGAATCCACGTCCCCCATTTCCCTCCCCATTCCCTCTCTCACCCAGCTCCCTCCCTCCGTCTGCCTCTTATGACCATTTTGTTACCCTTCTAAGTGAGATTCAAACTTCCTTGATTGTGCCTTTCTCATTGTTTAATTTCTTTGTGTCTGTGGGGTGTGTACATGGATATCCTAGATTTTATGGCTAATATCCACTTGTAAGTGAGTACATACCATGTTTGTACTTTTGGGTCACCTCATTCAGGATGGAATTCGCAAGTTCCATCCATTTGCCTGCAAAGTTCATGATTTCTTTGTTTTTAATAACTAAATAGTATTCCATTGTGTAGATGTACCACATTTTCTTTATCCATTCTTCAGTTGAGAGACATCTGTGTTGTTTCCAGTTTCTCCTTATGTTCATAGGCTGCTATGAACATAGTTGAGCAAGTGTCTTTTTGGGATGGTGGAGCATCTTTTGGGTATATGCCCAGGAGTAGTATAGCTGGATCTTGAGGTAGAACTATTCCCAGTTTTCTGAGAAACTGTCAAATTGGTTTCTAAAGCGGTTGTCCAAGTTTGCACTCCCACCAGCAATGTTCCACTTGCTCCACGTCTCTGCCAGCATGTGTAGTCATTTGAGTTGTTTCTTTTTGGTTTTTCGAGACTTGGTTTCTCTGTGTAGTCCTGGCTGTCCTGGAACTCACTCTGTAGACCAGGCTGGCCTCAAACTCAGAAATCCGCCTGCCTCTGCCTCCCAAGTGCCGGGATTAAAGGCGTGCC